CTATGTGTGGAGAATGATAAATGTGGTGGGAGAAAAGATTAGTGCACACACGAAGGGGAACTTGCTTTCTATTGCCTGAATTTGCAGCAAACCCCTCTTGCAAGGTTATCCTCTCTCTTCTCTCCCCATATTTGATTACACTTGACAGTGATAAGTACTGCAGCCAGATGAGACACACTGTTTTTGCTGAACAATCCCAGAGGACTTAGAAGGCTGAATAACCCCCCAGACAAGTTGCAACTTAGGTCTTCAGGATACTAGCTGGGCATTTTTTTTTTCTTCAGAAATGCAGGTTCAGAGCGGTTGAGGTTATTTGTAGACTGAGGTTGAACTCAGCAAATATCCCGATCTTCAATTTTAAGGGATAACTTTATGTTTGTCCAGAAGTCCTGCTGCACCAATACAAAGCATTTGCAGGACCAATCCTTCCTAAGTCTTCTGTTATTAACAAGCCACTCCAGTCACCAACAGTGTCTGACTTTCCCCAGGGGTGGCCATAGACAGACGCTACAGAACAAACACACGGCTCTAGCAGTCAACAACCCTGCCCCACCAGTACCTGGGAAGCCCCTGTGACTCTTTACCTCTGGGAGCCCCCAGCTCTGACTGCACCCTGACAATATTCCTCTGTAGATTTTGAGTCAGCAAAGGATCATCAATGCCCCCTTTCTCTCTCCCTCCCTGTTAAGGTCTGAGGGCTGTGAAATTTTGCACAACTGTCATTGGACTGCCAAGGAAGGATTCTGATGCCCATTCTCAAGCCCCTTCAGTTATTTTGCATCTTAGCATTAGAAAATACTTCCCATAGACAAGGACTGAGTAAGCTTTTTTCTCCAAATTCCCTGCTTATATCATTCCGTGAAGGGAGTATAAACTAGACAAATAAAAGATCTTGAATTAACCATAATGGCTGGTCACTTTAATGAAAAACCCTATATTCAAAGACAAGTGGTCATTCCATTTTACTGTGTTTGTGGCATTCTTCCTATGGCATAGCAGTGAAAAATTTTTAAAGGGCACATTTCCAAGCTCTCAACATGGGAAGCAAACAAAATGCCTGGACAGCACAACGCAGGCTCCTTTTAAAACCATAAGATACCATTCAGACACAGTATCCATATTCTTACTGCAGCCTTGCTCTTAGCAATAACTTGATTGGAAGAAAGCAAATGAAAAAGGGGAGTTTTTAATTTTTCCCATTAAAGCATAAATTACTTTCCAAATCAAGATACACGTATATGTATCTGCATTTATATATGTGTGTTTATACACTTATAGCAGAGGGTAGGTTTGAATTAGATATTGGGAGGAAATTCTTTACTATGAGGTTGGTGAGAAACTGGAATAGGTTACCAGAGAGGCTGTGGATGTCGCATCCCTGCAAGTGTCCAAGGCCAGTTTGGATGGCACTCTGAGCAACTTGGTCTAGTAGAAGGTGTACCTGCCTATCACAGGGGAGTTGGAAATAGTTGATCTTTAAGGTCCTTTCCAACCCAATGCATTCTGGGATTCTGTGGAATTTAGTAGAAATTCCAAATTTTCAAGAATTTATCACATTCTATAACAATATTTTCCAGTGAAAACTACTGTCTTTTTTTGAGTTATGTTTTATTTTGTGTTGGGCAGTTTTCCAGTTTCTAACTTTGGTTATTCTATATCTAGATTTGAGGTGATGAGAGTATTTATAACAAGAATTTAAAACACGATGTTGAAAGAAGGTGACACTGAAAGAAGATAACAAAAGTAGACACTAAACTTTCCAAAGCTTCTATTATCATTAAAGTATTGTGACTGTTTTCACATGTTTTTCCCGAGATCAATATAGATGCACTCTTCATAAACACTTAGAAAACACTTGAAGTTGCCCAACAGTATTTCTATGGAAATCTCTGCTATTCATTCAAGTTGAGCTGGAATGTATTGAAAGATTTAATCCTTTTTCTGTTTGATGCAATAAAAATGTTGTCCATATAAAGTTACCAACAAGCTAAGTTATACAATCAATGACCAACTGAACACTGGTATCAGTCTTGCCCTAGACTTTTGCTTTTGCCTATCACTTTTAAAAATATCTGCTTCACTGCATTTTTTCACTCACCATTCTGAGACCTGTGCCCCTCACACTGGATGAGTTTTAAAATATTCAGTTCAAATCCCATAAAAGGGCAAGACCAAAGATTCCAGTCACATTACTACTGAAATGCAAATCTGAGCCTTGACTGTGCTTTCTTTTCTTTTCCTACAGCTGCTGGGGTTATTGTTAGCAATAATTTTACTGAGAAAAGAGGAAGGTGGAAAAAAAAAAAGAAAAAAATTAAAAAGAGAAAGAATGAGTGGTTAAATAGCAGTGTTCTGTAAGATATACTTAGAATCAATCATGTTTCTCAGCCAGGCTAGTGATCATAAATCATGTATCGTTCTCCAAGCTCAGTGGTTGTGCCAGCCGTTCATTCTGAGAAGCTTCAGGTGCCCTATACAGGACTTCACAATAGGATTATGGATTAAGGAGAAAGCTCTGCTCAAAGAGGGACAGGAATTGAAAGAAGACTTGTTTGGTACAGCACAGCAGAGAGTGCAAAAGGAGAAACAAGCCAAGAAGATAGAGAAATTGAAAAGGAGGTAGGGAAAAAAGTTATTTGTAGTTCATGACAGAAGTTTTGTTCAATGAAGAGCTCCTCTGCCTTGCCCTACTTTCATTTGGAAACCGGAACAGGGATTCCATTGGGCTAAGTTGGAGCTGACCACTAACACCCGGAAAAACATTTTTAAACTTGCAAGATCCAAAGGAAAAAGAGGTATGCACAAAGGGTTGACCAACATTCTGGCTCTTTGATCTCCCAGTTGAAGGTATGTCAGTGGCTAAAGCAAAGTCTGCAAATGAAGTAATTTCCTTTCCTCTCATGTCAAGTCACAATGGAAAAAATGACACTTTTCAAAAGAAATGCAATGGTCTTTCTCCCTTTCCCATACATGGAGGTCTTGGCATATAATGACTACCTATTTGCATTTGGCTTGAACTCACCAGTCTGCTTCTCAGATATAAAGGAGCTTGAGGAGAAGAATTTGCTAGTCAAAAGATCTTATTTTGGAAAAACTAGTTACAGAGCCATGCAGCAGTCTTGCTGCTTTGAAAAAAAAACCTAAACCAAAAAACAAACCAACCAACCAACCAAACTACCACCACCCACCACCACCTTCCCCCCCACACACAATCCCCCAAAAAATCACAGAGCCAAACAGAATAAAGAGCAGCCATTTTCCATATCATAGTTAAAGCAAATGGGAACACAAGTAGGGATGCAGTTACAAGATCCTATGGTTACAGGAGTCATTCTACTCATGAAGACACCAGCAGTCATGAGCTACAAATCTCTGCTCAATGTCTGTACCTTGCAGCTGTTAGAAACAATGAGTGCTGGATTCCAGAACTTTCTTCTCAGTTTTGAGTTCAGTGTCAGTCCAGAGGCATTAATCATGGTCTTTCAAGAAGCAAGGTCTGTTTTTTGTTCTAGTGGAAGGAAGGTGCTGCTGTTAAGTTTGCCCCTGGGATGCTGTGAAGATCTGCCTCCTTGAACAGCCAAGTTCTTGCACATTGTTCAATGATCAAAACTTGGTGGGAATAAACCCAAATCTCCTGACAGCTGTAAGAGGAAGCTCCTGAGCAAGCCGACTCTGACTGGGATGCAGATAGGAACTCAAGAGCAGAAGTGCAATAATTTACTGTAATCAGTTCTCCTTCCCTATCCTCTGACACCTCTTTTTTTTCCAAGTCAAGGCATACGGGTGTGGCTGCCACTGGCCATCTCCCACCTCAGGCTGGCAAAGTAATGATGCAGAGCATGAGTGATAGCACAGTTCACCTGTTCCCACATTAGAGATGAAAGATCCAGTCTTTTGGGCAAACCAAATCAGGATAAGCCAAAACATGACTACTTAGAGTAATTTCCAATTGACAAACAGATCAGAGGTCTCTCTCTATCTGAAAGCACTCTTGAGCAAAAGACAAAATTGAATGTTTCAAAATGCAGGGTTAAATTTACATATGCAGTGCAGTGCTGCAGATATCATTCACTATTGGGCCATCATGTACATATTTGTGGTGGGCTTTCCACAGGCAGACTTCCAACAAAAAGAGTTAAATACTTAAAATGGTGACATCGTTAAAACTCCAAAATTGTGTATGGTTCTATATATTAAATATACAGATACATATGGATCATTTTATAACCATAATTACATATCTTTATAATTGCAATGTTTTGACATCACTAAAACTCCAATACTGTGTGTGGTTTTATACAGTAAATATATAGATATATGTGGATCATTTTATAACCATAATTGCATGTCTTTATATCTGCAATGGTTTGTGTACACACAAAAAATGTGATGTCCAATACTTTTTCTCACAGAATATGAAAGGCAAAACAAAATACAACATTTTTCACATTTGTGTGATCCCTTGGGTGTGGTTCCTACACTCTTTGCTCAGGGTTGGAGCTCTAGACATAACATACAAACACCAGAGCATAGGATAGTAGCAGGTACTGTAGATTGAGTGTAATCAAAGCCTTGTCCCCTCTTAAGAGAATCCAGTGGGTATTCCAATTTGAAAGATTTTGGCTTTACCCAGTTTTCTGCTTATATTCATAAACAATACTGACTCAATCACTTTCAGTCTCAAGTGAACATGACTAACTAGTAATTTCCTGCATTTGTGACATGCCATGATCTTCCTTGATGCTGTTAAAGTTTGTGACTACACGGAAAAGCAGTGGCAAGTTGATAGGGAATGACCCTTGATAAGTTATTCTGAAATTGCTTGACTTTGCTCTGCAAGTTTAGTCTCTCATAGCAACATGGACAGCATATCATTTTATGCTGGCTTCATTAAAAGAAAACGATTCCATCTTTCAGTTAAAAAAAAAGAAAAGCTGTAACTGTTGAAGCAGCATGCACCTAATAAGCTACTTCTAAATCTGGCTCCATCATTTCAGTCTGTGGACTAGCAGAACAGAGCTTGCAGAATCCTCCTCAAGTAAGTATTGCCTTCTCTTAACAGCATGTTTGTTTTTTTCATTTAAAATGTATACCTGGTAGTAAAGAAGTCTTCAGCACTGAATTAGTGGTGCTGCAATATGACAGCTCTATGCCTGCTTTAAACATGAATTAAAATGCTCTGTTGTTTCATTTGGCAGACATTACTGTCTTTAAAAGGAGTTAATACATTAAGGTACAAGACAGAAAATTATATGGATGAAGCTTCCAAAAGCTGCAGTGCTGAAAAGCTAATGAAATGATTTATAATTGACTGTCATTATAGGTTTTTTTTAAATGAGTTATGTATCTTTCATTTGCATAATGCACATCATGGAACATGTCTATTTGATCTCATCAGAACTGGAATATGTATTCTGAATATGCTACTGGCCATTAAGTATGAAATTAGCAAAATAATTTATATCTTCAAGAAAGGAAAAATTCAGATAGTGGTATTAATATTAATAAAGCTAATATGTACACTTTAAGCCTACCTCATGTTTGTATTAAATGATGAAGTAAAATATATGTAGTGGATGACTTTGCCTAATTGTACAAAGTATTAGTCAAACATTGCTAAACACGACATAGATGAAATAATTGTTTGTGAGAAAAATAACATGAATGCACAACATTTTCCAAAACAAACACCACATACTGTAGCACGCTTCTGCAAGAGTATTTAAACAGCTCTGTTGGACATGTCTCTTTAATATATTAAAATTAGGTGGGACTATGGGTGTGGAAGGAAAAATAAATAACAATATTTTTCTTCATGCTGAAATTGCAATTGTAATAGAAAGGAGTTAGGAACAGGCAATGCACAGGGTTCCCTTTGCATTTGGTATGCAAACACACACATAACCAAATGCAAACAAACATTTTTTTTTCTCGTTTAGTCGTAGCTGCTTAGCATCTATTCCCGTGACATGCAACTCATTGCAAACATGCAGGTTTGCAGGACTCAGCAGAACTGTATTGTAGCTGTGCCTGAGACATTACAGCTCCAGTACTAATACCCAGGAAACATTTAGCACAAACATATCCTATACCTCCAAAAACATTATTTATCATATTTTTATGTGGGGAAAAATATTTTGTAAAAAAAAAAATCAAACTGTTTAGTTAACTTCCACAGAAAACTACATAAATACTTCCCTCCTGCTCAATTTATCCACCCCACAGAAACCCATGACAACAGCAGTCAAAAAATTACCATGTATTCCTTTCAGTTATTTTCAAATTACCCATAACAATAAATTTTAAAACATACTGCCAACCCAACTAATTTATATGCAGGCAAGCTTTTTTTAAGCAAACTTTTCCAGGACATATTGAAGCATGGAACTGGAACAAGCATTTCTTTATTTACTGTGTAATAGAAATAGAAAGTTTTTGGCAGATTATACATGTGGAGAGATAAAGAATGGAAACAGAGAAAACAAAATTACCATTTTTACAGTTGTGGTGAACAATAACATATCCTTTTGCAAGCAACATTAAGCTTCCCAAGGGCCAGCTCTGAAGAGCCTAATAAATTAGAAGCCAGTAAAGGAGAGATTTAGGCTGACATCCCACAGCCCTTCCCAAAATCTCAGGAAAACACAGTATAGTTATAACAAGATCCATAAATAGTAAAATTTATGGTACCATCCCTACAAGACAAAAGGAGACATCAGTGAGTAGTAATCACACTAACATGCTTAGATCATTTCCACAGCTATTTCTATTTATCAACTAGAGGAGGCAATCACTGGTAACTATTTCTGAGGCAGACTGCTAGGGTGAGAAAGAGGAAGAGAACTGCATTTGGGAGGCCTTCAAGGGGAAATGGAGACTTCGTGATTAAGGAGATAGCATTGCCTAGGTGAAAAAGCTCACCTGTTCCTTAAACCTCGTGATTTCCTGATCTTGCAAAAGAATTATCTGATGAAATCCCACAAACCTACTACAGGTCAATCGTTCTTATGAAAGTCAAAGTATCTAGGGATTTGATCTGTTACAAAGAACTGTGAATTTTTGTATTATGCTCTTGAACAACTTAGTCTAAGACATAATTCACTAATTTGAATAAACTCACTGGACACGGAGGAAAAAAAAAAGAGAGAATATTATAGCAACATCTTATTCCTTTGTGGTTTATACATTTATCAAAGATTCACCTTCCAGTCTTACACTTTCTTCTATGTTTAACATTTAATTAGCAGAATTACATATTCCTGCAGATATAAAAAGAGATGACAAGAAAAACAGTACTGTACTGAAAGATCTCTTCAATACTCTTGGAAGCATCAATGGGAAGGTCTTTGGGTAGCTTTAATTCACCAGTAAGGTGGTATCACAACAGAAAGGGACAGTATATGGCTCCAGAGACAGCAAGGCCTTGCAGACTGTGGCATCCAGCATCAATTTAGGAATGGATTAAAGTAAAATAAACTGGTATATAAAATACCATTAATTTTAAAATATAGTTTAATTAATGGGTGGGAAATATTTTCATTCTCCCTGAAGAAAAAGGAAGTGTATTTTTATTCCATGAGAAACTAATTCCATTCTTCCACTCACTTTTCCTCTCTACTGTCTTAAATTTCCTTATATTTTTTCATCCTCTTTTTAGTAATAATAATAATAATAATAATAATAGGGGTGGTAAATAAGAAGAGAAAAGGGAGAGGAAAATGGCATAACAAATTTGGAAAGCCACATAACACATTCTACCTCAAAGAAGGACAGGTTTAAAGACTAGACTCAAAGGATTTGACACTTCCCTAAAAATACAGATTTTCAAGGAGTAGTGGAAGAAACTAAGACTCTTCATCTGTGTATTCTCAGAAGGATCAATTATTTTACTGTCTTTTCACCAAACAACTACAAAGTGAACTGGAGACAGAGAATCAAATGTTAGTGTAATGCAGATGACCTACAGCTCTACCCATCCTACAGCACGGCTACAAAAACGGTACAGCGTGTGAAGAAGAGCTCATGGAGCAGCTGGCTAAAGCAGAAACTGAGCAAGAAAAAGATGATGTTGGCAGAGGATAGGAAGCATTTTGAGGACTCATTCACAGTACAGGTACGCAGCCGCGGTTGGTCACTAAACACAAATCTGATAAAGAAACTGTTATTCACAAATGCTATTACCTTCTGTTAGCTAGGAAGCTCTATCTTTCTCGAATGGGGACAAAAATTTCTCAGGCAGGTGACATCACAAGCTTTTAGTGCTAAGAACTTCCAACATGGAGAAAAAACTATGGTGTATATGCTTTGAAGCTTGGTCTAACTTTGCAGCTTCATTTCTCTGGCTTTTCTCAGCAAGAGTAAAATTTCTCTTCATGGGAGAATGAAAGGGAAAAAGTCCCTTGGTAATTAAGGGTAACCAAATCTCATTATCTAATGTTACAAGTGCCTGTAATATTTCTTTGAAATACTTTAAAAATATAGACAGCAACATGTGGCCAGAGTGCAATTTTCTATTGGTAGGGAGCTGACAACACAACAGCCAACAGATTACAACTCTTACTAATTTGGCTGCTTGCACAGTAATGGAAGGTCCTCTGACAATATGGTACTGAATGCAGTTAGGACCTGTGTCAAATGGACTGTTGAACTGCTTTAAAAGAAATTTAAAATTGGTATATAAAACCACTTTGTGCTCACATTTTTCTCTTCCTTAATTTTTAATTTATTTTTAAAGCTATAAATATAGCTTGCATTTTAATTGAGTGGCTGTCTCTAATTTTACTGCAGCTGTAGCACTTGTCAGAGAACAATAGCTCTGTTTTCAGGGTGCTGAAGGATTCATAGTAAAAAATGTTTTTAATGCTCCACACTTCTTACAGGCCTATCACAGCTCTGTCTAGTATACAGTTGTAAATTAAATGAATCAGACTTATTACTGTTGACTAGAAAGATGACACAGCAGTTTGTTGCATTGTGTTTGGTCACTCTGTAGTTGTAAAAACAGATAAATGTTTTCCTCATCATTTTGGAAAAGTAAATTAATGAGAATTTAGAGGAATTTAAATGCAAAGTAGGATGCACTGCCCGCTATGCAGATTCCTGCATTGAAGCACGAGTTTCTTAAATGTCTTTGGTCTGTAAGACACCACAGTACCTTTCCACCTCTTTTCATGCTAATAAAACCTGTCATTTGTTAAGAATCCAGACTGATTTAATAGTGACAGGACAGGCTCAACGTTTGATTTGTCATTACATGATACAGAACTACCAACAACTGAGAAAGGAAGAACTCATTTTAAGCTTTTAACTTGTTCCCATTAGCAGTCACACGTTAAAATAAAAGAACTGAACTTTCATTCTACTGGTCCTGAAGACAGCTGGATCCTACAGAGTTAGAGCAAATGTCTGCTGACATTTTCCTTAGGACTGAAACCTTTCAAGTGGAATCTGGTGAGGCAAAATGAATACAGACAACACTGACTGAATCTCTGCTCCATTAGAAATTGTTTGTTCTGAAAGGAAACAAAAATGGTGGATGTAATATTTAGCATCCTAGAAATAGAAATTATTCCTATTAATTTGGAAATGTGATAGAGTTTCTGGAGAATAACTAGAACAATGCTGAGAAGAATTTAAGCTAACACTGTCTTGCTGATGACACTGGACTAGACAACCTTGTATGAAAAGCAAATTTGTATTTTGCAACCATTACAGAAAAAAAAGTGTAACCATCTGCTAAAAGAAACACAGAGGGGAACATCTGTATTATTTAAAGGGATATATTGAAGTGCAAAACTGAAAGGTGCCATAAAACACTTCAAAATTAACTGTATTAAGTGTGAAGAGAAGTGGATAAGATGCGATAAAATTTTCATTAAAGGCAGGAGGGAAGAGTACATCTGAACAAGAATGGGCATTGGGAGAGTTGGGATATAGCTATTTTAAGAGTGGAGTTTCAGCTGAGGGACATACACATCTGTAGGGCAAACTGAGTACTTTGAAATGAATCACTATTCTTACAAATTCTAGAATCCAAAATCTTGGATTCTACTCACTGGCTATAAAAGGCTCTGGAATCAGATTAAATTGTAATTAAACTGTAAAAAACTGTAATTAAAATATACCTCAATATTGTTTAAAAATCAGATTTACTTTTTTTCATTAATAACTTAAAGCTTTCTTATGAATCTCAAAATGTGGAAAACCTTTATACTTGTTTGATTTTTCTAATGTAGATATCTGCTGAAGATATTATTGTTAATGTATCCAAAGGTATAATTTTAGATATGCAGAAACTTTGCACGTATCTTTAGTACTAAAAATGTTGAAAAATGTTGTCTGCTTTGTCCCAGAAATGATCATCTCTTCCAGATCTCTACACAAAGAAACTTCCAGTTGTCATAACAACATATTGCCACAAGTACAAGACAACTTGTACTTGCTTTTCATACAATTAGCAAAAGTTAAAATCTCCTGAAGATTAAAAACCAGGGATTTTATTTCAAAGGGAGGGTGGAATTAATATATAGATTTTTTTTTAAATTCCCACAGAATTCAACTTACAATTTAAAATCTTCAGACTGTAGAAAAATTCCATTACATCAAGTCATATTTGCAGGTAACTCCATTATGCTCCATTTTTATACAAAATACACAGGTTTCTAATAATGTCTTTGCAAAATGACACTCAGAGTATAAGTAAGCCTAAATTAACCTTTAGGAAAATCTTCATGTGTTTTCCTATGTAAAAAGTTTACTAGACAAATCCTGGAATGCTTCAGTCTTGTCAAATGAAATACTGAACCATCATGAAAGTCCCATTTAAGCTGTGATTTTATCAATCATTCTGTTATAAATGTTCCAAATTCAACAGTCAGTTTATCAGGAACAGATCAGTATTGTTCTGTTTACATTCTTATTTTAACACTAAAATAGAATAGAGCATCTTAGCCATTACTCCACACAAAATTGCAAACAGTATCCACTTGAGTCCCTAGAAATAGTTCACTTATGAGCAGGTCTTGACAGTATCTAGAGATGTCACCTTGATCAGGGTTGCATTATGCAGGATTGTGTACTAATGCATAGAAAAAGTCAGTCCTTTCCTAATTTGTTCAGTTAATGGTAGCTACAGAGAAAAGTTCAGGTGTTGATCAAAGGTCAGTGAACTAGGTAATGGCAGAACTGCCAACTTATTTACAGTAAAGTCTGTCACTTGGATCAGACAGTCTTCAGTTGATTTGCACAGACATACTGTATTATTCCAACAATTGTGCCAACAATTTCTAAAGTAGGGCAAAATTAATGTATAAGTTTTTCTCTTAAGCTTATTTTAAGGTTAATATGACTGGTTTAGAAGAAGTTAGAAATCTGGCAAGCGTCCACCTAGCAGAGGCATATTGTAGCAATAAATAACAGAAGAATTTGAGCTCTCTGAAGGTATTTATTCCAAGAGTACCGCCCAGACAACTGCAGCAAAATATTGCCATTCACAGACATACCTGCTTGCACTGGTACAAGAAATACCCTATATCAGCAATGTCTTCAAAAATATTTAAATATGTAAGGTAAAGTAACTTGAAGTCTTCAAAAATCAAGTCACTTAACATATGGAAAATAAATCATGAACATCAAATCATTACAAAAACGTTTAAAATATCAAACATTCAAATTTTTAAACATATTTTGTTTTAATATTCAGCTTCTCCCTTTATACCTGTGACTGGTGGAAATAATTTCTGAGATTCAGGTAGTCTCTAGAGAATATTTTGGTGAATTTATTTAAGAGAGAACACTGTATAGTTACTATTACAATAAACTTTGATAACATCTATTCCAACCAAGATGGAATTGGGAAAAGATTTATATCATTTAAGTAAGAAGAATTATTTTTCATTTTTCAGCTGTTGATAAGTTTTTTCTTAATAATTTAACATTTCTGTGTCATATGTCTAGAGTCACTAGGCAGAAACCATCTGAAGAAAGAACAGCTGCAGTACAAGCAGTATATGACACCCACAAGTACTATGTACCTTACCTGTGCTACCTATAACCTACAACCTGGCATTTTTCCTATTTATATACAAATGAAATATTTCAGAACAAATGGGCTCATTCCTGACAATAGAAGAGGATTTTATGATCCATTTTTGTTGACTGTACCAGTCTTCTGATTCATACCTTAAAATTTGCACAAATGCAATGGATGGTTGAATTTATGTTGGCAGTTTACATAGCTTTGTTCTTGTACAAATGAACCCAATCTCTCATGAATAAAAAAGCCATTCTCCAAATATGTACAAGTTATAACAGGTTCTGGCTCAACAATGAGGATTGCTCTGTTTCTGAGACAGGCATTATTAATAAAGTCCATTAAAACTGTAGAACTCACACTTTGCCAAGCTCTAATGGATCTGGAAGGCAGAAGACCTAAGACACATTAGCATAGACCCAATGTATTTGTGAATCCTGTTTGCTTCAATGAGTAACCTTAAGTTTGTAAAAGTCTGTACATGGTGAAAAATCCCTATATTCTGGCTTTGCAAGAGCAGAGTAGTGCTCTATTGTTCCCTGATTGCATTGAAAAGGTCATGAAAATCTTTATGTTGACAATTGAAGGCATTTTCCAGCCCTTTAAGCTGTCAACATTCACATTCAAGTGAGAGAGGAATAAATTCATCTAAAACAAGACAGTGTGAACAGGATTTATGCTTTTTAATCCACATTATCTCTGTGATCAGGATAATGTTTGTAGCGTACAATGGAATGGCACAGTCCCATAGAAAATATGGAAGCATTTCAGGAAGTAATTCCAGTAAAAGGAATTGATTTCTGATGTGTTAAAAGGATCTTCATGTCCCCCTGTTATTTGCAAAATTAATGTACTTACTATGTTAATTTGAGAGATTTGCAACACTCCAGCAGCTTTTATGAACTATGATTTAAATGAGTGTTGGAATTACCAACGTGGAGACAATAAATTCTATTATGCAGTGGGTAAAGTGCCTTGTAATGAGGGACCTAAATGTCTGCTTCAAAAGTTCATGGAACTATATTTCAGCTCAAGCTGCTGTTGACCTGTGATCTATAGATGTTTCTTTTAAATGTGCTCTT